AAGTCCAGACCAAGATTTTGTTTCAACCAGCCAGTTGATTATAGAGTCACGGAATACTCAATTGGTTGGTTGAAACATACTCTTGGTCGGGACTTTAACTCTCTGGACCTGAACTACCCACCTCTGTAGTAGTGTAGCTACACTTCTACTGCTACTACTATTGTAAGTACACTGAGAAGGGTAGTCTATCATTAAACATTAAGCAATGGTGGCTGCTACGGACATGCCGGTGATAGGGACTCACTCGACGACGCACTTCTCATTCATTAAGTTGGCCTTAAAGCCCAACACGGCGAACACCACCAGTGTGGCCAGCACTGAGGTGACAAAGTTGATGATGGAGACCAGCGCGGCGTCGAAGTGGCAGTTGTTGTCCTGCTTGTTGTAGCTGGAGAATGCAATGACACCTCCAAAGCCCAGACCCAGAGCGAAGAAGACCTGCGTGGCAGCCTCACGCCACACCTGTGGTTCCAGCATCTTCTCCAGCTGGCGGGAAAAGATGAGGCGGTGGGTCACTCGTCACATTCCATAGAGCTGACAACAGAATTCCTCCCTGAACAGTAGTGATGGACAAAATTACGCTTCAAGGACCATTTGCTGTATTTTACAACACCACTAGACGGTGCTCTCTGTTTGAAAAAGGGCACAAAGCATGCCCCAAAGCAAACCAAGAGCGCCATCTAGTGGAATTAAAAAAATACAGCTAATGGTTCATGAAGCATCATCTTGTCCATCACTACTGAACAGGTATTCTGTTTTATCTAAATCCAGCTGGCATTTGCACACATTTTAATAAATGAACATGATATTAATGTTTCTTTTTTGATGTAGCACAATATTTCCCCAATCTGAAGTGTGTAAGGAGCTTAGCAATGCTGAAACTCTTAAACAGAATTTCATTTAATACAATACCCATCGGGTGCAGATAATACAGAGCCGCAACTAAATTTGAAGTACTGTACTATACATTTTGAAGTACAAAACCGCCAGCAAACACTAGAGGGGGACATTACCCAGATTTAGAGCCAAAGCCACCATAAGAGTCTGTTAGACATTATGCGCTGTAACCACAATATACTATTTATGTGTGACATGCATAATAACAGTGTATTAAACCTGTTATTAAGATTTAGTAAACAATGTGCAGAGAGCACTGACACTGAGGACAATTAACAAAAGAAATTACAAATTAACAATCTGATTGGCTGCTCTCACATTATGAAATAACTGTGTGGTGTAATTTGCCGTGTAATGCCATGTTTTCTAAATGTCTTACCAGGGATAAAGACAGTCTGACCTGTTGTTCCCACCTTTAGGTAAACATATGATCTGAGTGATTTCACACCAGGGGTATAAAACATGGTGTAACAGGTTTGCACGCACCTTGGGTGTGAACATGTGAGCAATGCCATCAACAGAGCCCCTGAGCATGAGCCCGCGGACCAGGAAACAGAAGAGCACCACGTAGGGGAAGAGGGAGCTGAAGTACATCACCTGGCAGGAAGCAGAACCGCAGGCCGCGCTGTTACCATGGATACTCATCAGAGACATGAGGGACAGCGGCATTAAGCAATTATCGTTACCAATAATAATAATTTATAAAATAGACAATTCATTTTTTTATATTGAGCTGCAACAGATCAACATATAATATGACATTATTAAGATTTGCTACGTTGAGTTTAACAAAAACAGAATCAGGATTTTAAAATGCAGATTTTGTTAAAATATAGAGTGGTCTCAATTTTTTTTCCCCCAGAGTTGTATGTGGGTGAGAGCAAGCTTAGCAGCAAAGGGTGGCCCCTTGCAATGGTGCCTATAGAGTTAGGGGCCTCACTCAAGGGCCCAGAGACCTGCGACTATTCTGCCAAAGTCAGGGTTAAACTGACAACCTTCTGATCACCCGCACAGAGGTTTAGCTCACTGAGCCACATGCTGCCCCCTTTACGCCACTCTTCTGTTTGTTTATTGTATTATTTAAAAAGTAAACCTCACCAGCGGCACCTAATGACAGTGTGCTGCCCGTAGGGACAGTGTGGCCACTGTCTGCTACAGCTGGGCCACCAGCCACACCCGTTCCTGGACCAGCACATCTGGGTCTGCAGAGTGCTTTTCTGTATTGTCTGGAATCTCATGGTGTACCTCAGTTTCAATCTGTGATCTTGATTTCAGGGGAGAGCTATGCAGCTTTTTAAAAAGCATTAAGAATAAATTTGTAGCAGGACAGATCTGGTGCGAAGCCTCATTATATTTATGCTAGTACACTGCGGAAATGCACACTGCACTCTGGACCAATCCGGTGCTTGGTTGCCATAGCTACACAGCAGCAGAAGGTCACTTTGAAGTAACCATACGCAGTGAGTATACTGTAACTGATCCAGTGTGCTTCACTGAACTCTTGTCTTTGAGAGCCAGCTCTTTAGCTGCCCGTTTACCTCAAAAGTGATAACTCTGCACCTCAGTATGCGCAGCCTGCAGGTTTCCCTTGGAGGGTTTTGTGGCTCCATGGGTAACAGTGTGTTCTCACACACCTAAGGTCATAGGTTTGATTCTTGCCTTTGACTTCCTGTGTGTGGCGTTTCCATTTTTCCCCCAAATTGCATGGATTTCCTCTGAACATTTCGGTTTGCTGGAAAATGCCAAAGATATACTAACATACCTGTGGAAGGACCTGTCTCTCTGTACTGGAGCTGCACAATCTGCAGATACTTCTGTAAATCACTGCTTAAGACCCATTCCTTAGCCTTGGCATTTGACTCCAGCTGGATTAACATATGTATTCATTTACTTTAAGATATTTATTTGAAATTGATTTTATTTACTTTATCAAAATTTTAAAAGTCTTGTATTTTGTTTTGGTTACTTATGGTTAAGGTTGTCATGTTGGGATTAGACTTTTCCCCATAGAAAATGAATGGAGAGTCCCCACAAAGATATAATTACATACCTGTGTGTGTGTGTGTGTTCTCTGATGGACTGGCATCCCACTGTGCCCACTGCCTTGAGCCCTATGTTTCCGTGGATAAGCTCACCAAGACCCTGTACTGGCTATCTTTGGAAGATGGATGAACCTGTATGCCCACCATAGCGCCCATGGCTGCCCACCTTCCCCGAGGACTGGATGCCCTTGATGACGGCCAGGCAGACGATGAACCAGGCTGCCAGCAGGGACAGGGTCATCCTCCAGTTCAGGCCGCCGCTGTCGGCGATGGTGCTGGTGATGTTCAGCGTCTGCCGGTACCAGAAATAGGTCGTGGCGGAGCTCTTCTCACACTCGGGCTCCACAACTGTGGCAGAAGCAGGAACATGGAACGTCAGTATGTAAGACTGCCTCCTACTGGAGCTCCAGGGCACCACAGGTGTTAAGATCTTCTGTCATCTTCTGTCACTCCATAAGGTCAGGAGTATACATCCTACAGTGCCTTTCATAAACAAATCCACGCTAGGACATTTCCCAATAGAACATTCATATATAAGTTTCTGTAGATACTACAAACAGTATATGAAAAGGATCAAAAATACATGGAGATCTATCTTTAGATTTAGTGGATATATTGTATATCATGCCAGCAAGACAAAGGGCTTATGTTCATAATGTCAATACTATCAGTGGTCTGGATAAGGTCCCTGGGGAATATAGAAGGTGGATAGATTTACTGTCAGTCCCGCTATGTGTGTAAAAATAAACTCTAACTGTAGAAATACAATTTAAAGACCCATTCCTCGAGGCCCACATCTCAGCAGTTTTTAGACGGTCCACTTACTGGCTTGCGTCCCGTTCCTCCTGATGGGGCATTCGCTCCAGGGCAGGGGGTACTGGAAGGACTGGAAGAAGTAGAAGATGCTCCAGCCGATGATGACGTTGTAGTAAAGGCCCACAAAGCCGCACACCTACAGGCAGCAGGTGGGACGGCCGGTTAATGTCGCCGTGAAACCTCACGCCACATCACAGACTCCCGGCAAGGAAACAGCCTCTTCCTTCCACACAACGTTCATTTGCAGGGAACATATTTAATCACACAGATATTATTTTGCCTGCAAAATTTTAAGCTCCCAGTCTTGCAAAACAGCGAGAAACAAAAACACTGTGAGACAATGAAAGACAAGAAGAACAGATGAGATCCTAATCCTGTTCCCGTATATACCGTATTTACATTAATCATTTTAAACTTATATGTATGATTTATTTTAATACAGTACTGTGTGATTTATCCCAGTTTAGAAAGACCATTTATGACATTTTTAGACAGCCTTAACCCCCCTCCCCCCCCCACAGACCCCTTTTCTCGCCAGCTGGGGAGTGGTGAAGTTTAGCACGTGCCTCTCCCAAAGAGCTGCAGACAGTCACGCGCTCATCCTCACTTTGTGTGCAGCAATCCCGGAGGCCAACAGCAGGTGTCGCCATAGAGAAAAAGCAGGGAGCAGGAAACCCAGCATTCTGAACCACCCAATGGAACGTGACCCAGTTTGTGTCCTTTGGGTTTCCTCGTCACAGACAGCTAACTCCTCCCAGATTTGGCCATGGTGGTTAAGACCAAATCTTCTTTGCTAAACAGTAGACTACTATTTTTGGTGTCATGGCTGGTAAGAATGCAGTTTGTCATGTTGGAGAATGCATGCAGGAGAACCAGGCAGGTGTTACTGAGGGCAAGGATTAATTTTAGAACATAACTTAAGCATTGCAACACTTGGTTAGCTGCTGAAATGAGGAAGATGGTGAGGACAGTATCCTTATGTTAGGAATCAACCTCCAAGTAGGAAAGGATTCATTACAACAAAAATCCTCTCTTAGGGAGAATACCTAATCGAATATGCCAGGCCAATAGGGGGCAGTACAGCAATGCCTGCACTGCTTTCTTCCTGCCCACATCACTACTTCTGACCTGAACAAGAAGATATGTCTGATGCCCTGTTTGGATGTACTGTACAATATGGTCATACAGTCCAAGCAGAGAGGTGAAGCAAGGCTTCAGGTGTCAGTCTTAGTGTCCGCACAGGACAACGTAATTGTCCATTGGTGAAACCCCACCTACATGTGTGATATGCCACGCCCACTTCCAGCCCCCCCAACCCCAGCTTAAAGCTATTTTCTGCCTGGATGTGTAGGTTCATAACCTTTATGACCATATTTTGTAACTTATTCAGGTTATAAGCCAAGATGTATTGTGAGGCAATCAATGAAGAGAAGACAGGTGAAGTCAGCCCTGTCCTTCTGGGAGGTTCTTCCCAAGCTGTACTGGGAGGGTGACGAAGTGACGACGACACTGACAGGCAGACTGACAGACAACTGGGGGGCTGCATTACTATACATTTTTTTATTTAATGCAAATGTAAATTTTGTAAATTGTAATTTTGACATTCTCCATATGTGAATTCGACTCAGTTTGTGGATTTTTCCCACTATAGTATGTCATACATTTTCAGTTTTAATGCTGCAGTAAAATGATCATGTATGATAAAAATGTATTTTGTATACGGTGTGTATTTTCTGCTCCTTTGGAGTTTCCTGTTTTTTTTTTGGTATACAGTCAGAGTAAACCGTGAGTAAGAAGATATGTACCAGAATTCCTTTATGCTTACATTTAACTTGTAGTTTTCAGTGACTGACAAAATAGATAAACCTCAAAGATATTTACTTTTATAAAACAGTCTGCCGTCTAATCCTAACCCTACCCTAACCCTAACCCTAACCCTAAGCCTCCCCTGCCTTGTTCCTCCTGCTTTCTAGGATTGGTGATGGGCTGCAAAACCGTATAACTGTATAAGGTGCTGGAACTTCATCACTCTTCTAATAACTGATTAAGACTTAAGTTTGATATATTATTTGCCGTATAACTACAGGCACCTGCCGTTTACATCTGCATACACAAATCTACATTTTGTGCAAAAAATTACAGTCTGTTTTATAATATGTGGCAGAAAAAAAACATTTTTAATCTATTTTTAGTCAGACAATTCAGAAAAAACTGCAAGCAGAATTGCTATTGCGTGATTTACATTGACGTGCCGTCCCGGTGTATGCGAGTAGATCAGAGGCACATCTTTCTGTGCCTGACTGCAAATGCTGCACAGCATTAACGTCCATCAACTTCAAAGCACGATCGCCAAAGTCACACGGCTGAAGCATGTCTGCGGGGACCCTGAGGAGCGTCGCCGACACGCGTGTCCTGCCTCGCGCTCAGCCTGTGTCTGCCCAGGGTACAGCGCCGATCTGGACCAGGCTGCTCTGCACTGAGACACCCATGAATTATTGAAGCGCAAGCAGGACACGGGTCCTTCATGGGGTATTTATAGCGCTCAGTCCCCTCCCAAGGGTGGTGCTGCTTTCAGACTGACTCCTCTGATAGGAAACATTCTGGTTCCAGAAGGAGAGCAAGTAAAAGTATGGGCTCACAGTGTTAACTAGGGCTGAGACTGTGTCCATATCAATGAAGAGTTACAACTCCGTGTCATCAGTAACTAAAAGTCGGGCAGTAACTAAAACTGTCAGTAACTATGGTTAGTAGTGTGCCAACAGCAGTAAGCAGGAGCGAGATTGGGTGTTAATATTTCTATATTATATATAAAAATGAAAGTGGATTTATAACCAGAAATAGGAGAGAGTGTGTATCTATATTAGTAATTATGAATGAGACTGTCTCAGAAATGAGGAGAGTATGTTTAGAATAGCAACTAGGTGTAAATCTGTCTGTCTTTACTAGTAGCTAACTAATTAGGAGGGAAAGGATGTCTGGAGTAGTATGCAGTGTGTTTATATTTGTGCAGAAAATTAGTAAAGTGGCTCTATATACAGAACCAGGACTGTATCCGTATCAGTAAGTAGGACCTGAGGGGTGTGATCCACTCACCATCAGGCTAGAGACCCCGATTCCTCCAAGCCGTGGGCAAACATAGTTCCACACCCCGATACTTCCCCGGCGGATCTTCTGGCCCACTGCAAGCTCCAAGAAGAAGAGGGGGATCCCGATGATAAGGAGGAGGATGAAGTACGGGACCAGATAGGCACCTGGAAGGTGAGACAAAAGCTTACAGGAGGCTGGGTGTGTGTGACTGGCTTTCTGCGTGCATACTTGTGTGGGCCCTCATGTTAAAGTGTGTGTCTGTGCCGTTCTGTATGTGTGTGTGTACCATGTTTTACAACGTTACTGATAATGTCTGATGTAGGGGAAAATGAGTAAAGGTTAATCAAAAATACATGCAGAAGTCAAAAGGCCTCAAGATCGAAGCTTCATTCTACACATGTCGCTTCCTCCTGTCCTCCACTGCTCTCATCTCCCAGGGCCACGCAGACAAAGCCACAGTCTCCGCAAACACTGTCACCATGACGTCCACTGCTACCATGGTGACGGACCGCTTTGCTCAGCCAAGGCGGGTCACGTCTTCCTCGCCGTCCTGCTGCTGCACGGTAGGTGGTGAGGATGCCCATTGGCCGGCGATCGGGGGGAAACGCAAACTCGACTGCTGAGTGGGCGCTGCCCCCCATGTCAGCAGCTGTCTTCTTTGACAAGGAAGAAAGAGGTAAAATATACCCTCAACCTGTTCTTTGGCTTCTTCCTCAACCTCTAATTATGGGTAATCGCCGGGTAGCCATGGATGAGGCCTCACGGTAAACCAAACAGAAGGGAAAGTGACATCAAGGCTTTCGGGCTGCCGTTGTATGTTCCTATTGAAAACCACAGACAAACACGTGCGCACACATCTAATACCCCCTCGAGAGGCAGAGAAGGTTTCCGAAGCCACAAGCTCTCCATGCATGGAGCAGGCCGCTCGATGAAGGTCAATCTGAATCTGAAGGGCATTTTCAGCCATCGTCGGAGCTGGCATTTACTCCAGATCCTCTAGTGAGCAACGCTGAGGTGGTGAGTCATCGCTTCACTGGGTTGGATAAAACTGGGGCATGTTTCACAGCAGTGCAGGGACTGGAGACAGTAATACTGGCTTGGCAGATCAGAGTGGATTCATACTGCCCAGCTTCACGTAAAAAAAAACTATAATAAAAAACTGAAAGAATGAACTAGGAAATCAGGGAGAAAATAAATCAAATGCTGCAGTACAAAAAAGAAACACTAAAAATTACTCACATGACAAAAGGGTAAGACAGTGAGGCTAAAAATAAAGTGAGAAATTTGAATCTTTGAGAAAGAAAAAAAAGCATGAGAACGAAAGATCTTTTGGACAAAAATGTATTGTATCTGTCTAAATGATCCAGACAGCGCCAGACACTGTTATACAGTAAGACACGAATATACAGCATGTAGCTAAATACACTATTGATATACAATAAGTCACTAATAGCAGATAAGGGATGAAATACAGCTCGTGGTTAAATAACGAGCCGTAATAGCAGGAAAGGATTGACATACAGCTGATACGTAAACAAAGGCCTGATCTATAGCAGGTCACTAATAGTGCTGATATATAGCTGGTGACTAAGGGCATCAGGGGGGCAAGCCGCGCTACAGGACACCACTAGAGGGCAGCAGAGAGCACAGAGATAGCTTGATGAATTGGGGGAAGATCTAGAGAAAAAGAAACCTGAGGTAAGAGGAAATATTTTGAAAGTGGTATGACAAAATACGAGGAGAACAAAAGGATATGCAAGCTAACCCAAAACAACAGAAGCTGGCAACAGCCAGCGTGGACAATAAAACATTAAAAGACGTACCAACAGGTACAGGTGCATATATTAGGAGTATGGTGTGAATGTGTACTTAAATTAAACTGCTTAAATTAAATGTGATTGTTTCAAGATTCGTGTCTGTTCTAATAAAACCACAGCGTGAACGTGAAGAGCAGTGCCACGGATCAGCATCGAGAGATTCCTGCCAAGTTACGTGCCATCAGTAAATGAAACAAATGAAACAGCACCTTGCCAAACGAAAGGACGATCTCACGGTCAGTCTCTGAGATACATCCCCCGAGTCACGCTGCGCCGGTACAGACAGGGATTACAGGGAATTCTCCTCACGAGCGAAACGAGTAAACAAACAAGCATCTGCTTAGGGAGCAGTCAACTGCGCTTCAGGAACTGCAGCTATGGCTAATCATAAACCTAATCTAAATAATAATAATTTAAAAAAATTATTATTAATAATAATAATTATAATAAAATAATAATAATTATAATAAAACTAAGAAACAAAAATAAGCACTTTAAAGCTCCAGACATTATTACTTGTTTACTTCTCACAGTCATTTAAAAGGACAGACACAAACCTCTTTCATTTTTCGACAGAGGATTAGGTGTAACAAAGCACAATTACTGCCAGCAGGGGGCAGCAGTAACGTCAGAGTTAATGCATAACATAGTAACGTCAGCAGGGAGAACCAGTACGGATCAGGGTTAATGCACCACATGAGTACCGTCAGCAGGGGGCAGCAGTAACATCAGGGTTAATGCACCACATGAGCACCGTCAGCAGGGGGCAGCAGTAACATCAGGGTTAATGCACCACATGAGCACCGTCAGCAGGGGGCAGCAGTAACATCAGGGTTAATGCATCACATGGGTACCGTCAGCAGGGGGGAAGACAACACTCACCTCCTCCATTCTTCTGACAGAGGTACGGGAAGCGCCACACGTTGCCCAGTCCCACGGAGAATCCCACCTGGGCCAGAATGTACTGCAGCTTGCTATTCCAGGCGGGCCGTCCGTCGGATGCGTCGGGCGAGTCCTCGGGCGCCTTGCCCTTCTGCGCCGGCGCTCCGCCAGCCGCGCCCATGTTCATCACGCTGCTCTTGTAGTCCAGCGGCTCCTCATGAGCCAGCAGGTCAGCCACCGACTCGGTGACGTGCTCATTGCTGTGCTCCCGCTGGGTCACCTTGCTGTTCTTCGGCATCTGGGACTGCTGGGGTGTCGGTACCGGGGGACGGGGGGCGGACGCGTGGGGTCCGGATCACAGGCAGCGCGCGACACGGCTATTAGTGCCGCTCGGACTTCTTCAGCTTTGTTCCTGTTTGTGGAGAAACACAAAGAAATCTTAGTTTGTTCCTACCAGACTTTCAGTAAATTGGGGTATGTCTCAGGTTTCACAATAACGATTAACTTGTTAAAAAATAACAGCTGCAGTTAGGGTTAGGCCAAAATAAAGACCAAATTGCCAATATTAATCCACCCATCTTCAAACCATATTTATATTTATATAAGGCTCTTTACAAATATGTCTCCCATTGTACTGTTTATGCAGGTAGACTCACGTTCTCTATCTTAAACGAACAGTTCCAACAACTGTACTCTCTCCACCACAGAGAGGCCATCACACGGTTATTAATTTAACTTTCTTTGTCCCTTGGGGAAGCTGGTATTTAGTTAAATACACAATTGTTTGTTTTTGTCACCCTGAGATTCAGGAAGATAAAATTCTTATTAAATGTGTTAGATAACCAGAAGCTGGTTGTTACATTCTGTTCCCATGTTCGTTCATAATTAATCATAACAGTTCACACATTTCATGCAGTTACTACATGTGTTCATGATTAGTACTTGAGTAGTAACTGAGTTACTAAGTTACTTGTGCCCCCTCAAGTAAATTGTTACCAATTCTTAAAATTATTTTAAAAAAAAAATGAAAATGTATTGATTTTTTTCCTTTGTAACATAAACGTCCAACATCCATTTGTTGGTGCAAATGATTGGACCGAATTTGATAAACATCTGTGTCAGATGGGGGTGTCGATGTCAGGAGGGTGGGGGCATCAGGCTCAGCCAGCCTGAGTCTCAGTCATTATACATGACTTTCGTTTATTTTCACCCAGGAAAAAACAGCCAGATCCTGCCCCCCTTCCCCAGTATATATTTCCACCTTCTGACACAAAAATGGTTTTTATTGTGGAACCTCCTCACCGGTTCTGTTAAAACCTTCACCTCTCACATGCCCAAATAAAGCCCCAGTGTCACATGACCAGGTACCATCCCGCACGGAGCCTCACCGTGTGAAATAAGGAATCCCTATCACAGGAAAATTCCATTGGATCGACTAAGGAGTGCTGTAGCCACTCTGTTAAGGTTCAGATGCCGCAAATATGAAGATGGCTACAGCAATTTTCTTTGTTGACCAGTTTTTCACCTAGACTCATTTCCTGCCTTAATTTATCAATACTTTGCAGAAAGGTTAAGCCATGCATTTCAAAAACGAGAGCTAGAACATAGCAGCCAGCAGCCTTGTAAATATAACAGCAGGCATGGTGGGGATGAGCTCCGGAGATGTAGGTCAGATAGAGGTCAAGGAGTCACGAGCATCTCTGCAGAAGCATCTCAAAATGGAGCTACACACGCACACACACACTCACACAGAACGCATTTCCTCTGCGGATACACACACAGAAATATATACTTGCAAATAGCACATTGCTTTTTCGCACATACACACTTCATCACACACGCGCGCACATGCAGAAATAGCACAGTCCATGCCTCCACACACACACACACACACACAATTAGCACACTCTGTCCCTCCCCACACAAACATCCATACTCATACCTCCATACACTAAAATACATGCATACGCACACACACACACACACACACACATTCACACACCAGATGCTTCAAGACCACACACACACAAAACATACATCGCCACACCACACACCACCTAATACTCAGATTTATTTGTTACATCTATACAAACACACGTCCTCACAACAAACATGCTATCACCCTCAAAAACATCATAATCAACCTCACAAGCTCAACCTAACAGGAGGCAAACCGCTCTGACTCAACACCTGACAACATCCACCAAACCAGCTCGACCTACTGCAATTATATAAGCTGCAATCTCAAACGAACCAACCTATCATGCTGTCACTCCACGGCCAATAACCTTAATCTATTCCCTGTCACTTGCACCCTGCCAAAGTCAACTTAGCCCACTGATATTGTATCTCAGAACATTTACCCACTCACTGTCAATAACTGCATATCTAATGAGGATCACCATGATCTTGTAGATGGTCTGGAGGACTTAGGGTAAAATATACCATTGACAAGAAACCAGTGTATTACAAGGCACTGTGTCTCTGCGTATCACACACAGATACACACACACATACACACTCAGAAATGCCTTTATCCACAGAAAACCCAGAGTTCCCACAGGAGAGCTATACAAACACCAGACACGCACCCCGTGAAGAGACAATGTGCATATTTTAGCAAGTGCTTTTCTCCAAAGTGATATAAAGTGCGCACAGGAAGTCTTAGGATGCTTGCTTAATTCTGCAAAAATGTTGCAAATTTATTGGTTTCGTAACAGAAGTCCTTTGACAATCAATTTTTAATATACCTGTACAGACATTTTCTTTTTTTTCCTTAAGTGTTATAATTTTTTTACTGACTCATTCAGTTCAGTTCTTGCCACTTGGCTATTAATTGCAATTGTAGTCACTGGCTGCCAAATGGACACTAAATGCAAATGTCTGACATTTTATGTTGCTGTAAAGGTGTTACTAATTAAAAAACACCCAATGGTGCTCGTCAATGAACCTTTGACCTCAGAACAGCTCTTTTAGAACTATAATTTGGGTTACAATGTATTACTTCTTGAAATTAATGTTTTACGTAAAACCACTGCTTGTTTCTAAGGCTATATAAATTTTTGTAAACAAATGATTTGTTATAAAACCAAGAAATTTACAGTGAATTCTGCACTGTACAAGTGAGGATCGTACAGCAGGGACAGACAGTGTCCCTGAAGCCGCTGGGGTTAAGCTCCTTGCCCAGGTGCCCAGTGGGAATACCCCCTACCAGCCATAGGACCTGAACACACATGCTTCCAGATATGGGCACAGATCCCAAAACCCACTGAGCGACACCCATCCTCCTGCAATACAGCAGCACCTATATGAACCAAATGACAAAAAGCCTTGACAGTTATGTAGGGGTTCAGTCTGGAAATTGATACCCCTGTGGGCACTTGCACAGAGCCCAAAATAATAACAATAATAATAGCTACACACAAGACTCATACAATTACTGTGCAGTGAAGTCAAACAATAACTGTACACCAGTGCAGGGCTGCTCCTGGAGACCTATAGGCTTCAACATTCCTGGCACTAAAACTAAGATGCTACTGAAGGGCCTGATGTTCTGTATCTGGTGTGTTAAATTAGGGCTGCAGCTAAGCTCTGCGGGGGTGGATCTCCAGAAGAAGGGCCCCCATTCAGTTGTTGTTCCCTGAACTCGTATAATGAAAACCAAGCCTGCATGCTGCGTAAATACAAAACTGACCCAAAGACTTTACACCAACGCGACCCAGGTACAGTGCACTGAAATCACCCATTTCAGCCTGTCAGTGTAACTACTACATGGAAGACAAAGACCAAGCCTTCAGTAACAACACTGACTTCAAGCTTTAAAGAGTTTACAGCGACTTGTATTGCATTGTGCTTGGATCTGAGCCTACAGAATGGGTCCCACCCGGCTCTTCGGGTAAGGAGTGTGCCAGTTATCAGAAGGTCACCAGTTCAAATCCCGTAGCAACCGCAGTGATGTCGCAATTGGACCCTTGTGCAAGGCCCTTGGCCCCCGGTATCCCGGGACACTGGCTGACCTGCCCTCTGATCCTCACTTGTATGTCACTTTGGACAGAAGCGTCTGCTAAACAAATATACAGTAAATGCCTGCATGGTGAGGCTGCTGTGCCCGCAGTGAGACATCATAAACTGTAAAGTAGAACTGGGAGGAGTGGAATTTGTGGCACTATTGATCCTATTAATTAAACCAAGTTGGTTTGAGTTATGATGCCAATAAATTCCACATATACTGAACGCAAGCCAGTATGAATTCAGCAATGACACGATATACAGTGACTGAGAATCCACCTTTTTAAACACTGGGCTTTCATGCACTGACTCACAGTGTGATCACTGTGCCTTCATATGAAACACAACATGGAAATTCTGCAGTTAGCTCTATACCTGTGAAGTGTAATGTAATCGGCATATAATGGTTTACAAAGCCAACACCATAAAAGGGTAAAATTAAGTTACTACTGTACATCAGTAAGCAAATGTAGTTCTAAACAAAACTCAAATGAATACAGCATCGGTCAAGGGGTGAACGGATGACGTTCCACGCATCCGGTAAGTCAACGCAGCTCCATAACTGATTCATATAAATATAGTACCACGGGATACATGACTGCAGTGCCATATACTTCAGCATATACCATATCACTCAAAGAGTGAAGGAGTGCAGGAATAAACAACAGGCCTATGAACGCAGAACTACACAAGAGAAGATGAACGTTGCGCGCAACACGTACTGTAAAGGCGCAGCTGAAATTCATGGCTTTTGCTGTCCTTCGGCACAGAGATCTCGGGGATGATATAACAGATCTGGGTTCAAGTGTCACTGATTTAGGATGCGCTCCAGTTTTGTCCTGTCTGGTTGCTAAGCAGCGCCGCGTTATACATATATAAAGTCACTGAACGTGCGCGGCTTGCTGTCCTGAGTCCCCTGCGTGCGCGACGTATCCTAAGTATCTGCTGGAAGACGCATGATGACCAAGATCAATCGCATATATAATAGACCCTGTTCAGAAGTTCAAAGCTTTTAACGACTAGATCTTATGTCGACGATGCGGCTTCGCGGCACAACTTCTTACGTCTCTGTGACACGTATTGGCGGAGAGTAATGTCATGTATTCCCATTTCATTAATTCACCGGTCCCCAGTCCGTCTGTGAGAATCACAGGGACAGACAGTATATGTGGTACAGATAACGTAATGTAACATCACAGATTTTCATGTATCCTTACGTCGCAAACTCGCTTTACAATGGCGAACTCCCCATTACGCATACAATTATCTTTAATTTCTCGTGCTCGCGTT